CCCCAAAACCCCAAAACCCCAAAACCCCAAAACCCCTCAATCACCTAAAACAATTGAATCATCGACCCTCTTTGGTTCATTTTTATGTATCCCGAAACAATCTCTCATGATTTAAACTCTCTTTGATTTAGAATGCATTCCTTTTCTTTTTCAGTGACCGAATTTTTCTGGATAATGCAGATAAATGGCCTTTACTTCTTGTCTTACGACTAGTTGTGGTACTCAAGTTTAAATTAAAAGGAGGCCTCTTTCTCCTTTTCCTTTTGATTGATTTAAGACTGGTCGAAAGCCTATTCATAGGAGCCATTCTTCGTGATATGTGCCGATGATTGTCGTTATTCAGCTTATTAGATACAATCCTGCGATGTCTATCACCTCTATTAGCATAATTATCTTCTAACTGTTCTGCATTATTTTGACTGTTCTATAATTTCATCGGAAAATTAGATAGCTTAATTAAAGCCCGGGCTGGGAAGAATGATATCACCCTTAAATTCATAAAATAAAACAAATTAATTTAGAGTATTCTTACAAAGTTTTTGATATCTTTATTGGTAAGTCTTGTACTAGCAGCTAGCACACTTTCATTATCTGGAAAATTATTTTGATCATACTTTGCCATCGACGAACAACTTTTGTTAAATTGGTTATGACCATATTCATGTTTTGAATCTTCATTTCGCTTAATATTCATAGTCCTTTTATTCTTCAAAAATAAATTGTAATTATTCTCTATGGCATCTTCCTTGCTAGCAGCATCATTAGGAGCTTGATCTTTTTGTTTATGACCTTCAAGTCCATCTATTTTGCTAGTTTTAGGCCTAACAAAATCTATTCTTGGGAATACTTCATTTCTGATAGATTATTGAAAAATTCTTACACATATTCTTCATTCTCTCTTTTCCTCGACCCACTTACCAAATTAGTGTTTGATTTATGACTTCTAGTGATCGAGTACTGCCCAGCTGCAGCTTCTGTCTTATTTCCCTCAGTCGTCTCACTTAGACTATTGTGTAGAGAAGTGTATGACTTATTTATGAATAGAGCCATTGTTTTTCTCTTTTGTTCTCAGTCTCTCTTGACCTAAAAATGATTGTAACCTCTTACCCCTACTCTTGATAGATTTAAGCGGCTTCTTGGCATATCTTCCATCAGTATATTCTTAATATTTAGTACGAATCCTACCTTTAGTTCCAGAATCATTGATTTTCATGGCTTCGCTTTCATTGTGTTTATAATTATTAAGCTGGCCTCTAGGTTTTGAAACTTTAATAAGAGCATCCTTTCTCCCTCTTTGAGCCCTTTTCTCTAATGATTTCTCTTGCTGAGTGAGTGCTTTACTATTATTTTTCAAGACTGATATCATTTCTTTCCTCTCTTCTTTGTTTACCTTAGGCTTTAGCAATTTGGCTTTCTCAATAAGTTGAAAATTCATTTGTGCTGACTTCTGAATGCTCGATCTCCTCCTTTTTCTATTTGGCCTTTCGTGGGCTATAGATAATACATATACTGTACAATTGGATTTTAGGTTATATGAGTCATCGACTAAAAATTGGCTCTTAGAATGATTATCAATATCATTTTCAAGATGCATCTGAGTTGATCTGTCATCACCCTCTTCCCTATGGTCAACTTGGTGTACGATATACTCAGTTTTATCCTGAGAAAGAGTATTGTCGAGACGGTTCTCAAGTTCAACCTTAGTTTCAGTGATTTCATCATCTTCTCTCATTAAGTGTGCGGTCCTTTTACTCTTCTTAGACATACTCGTGCCTGGAGATCTTTTTATCAGCCTTCTAACAAGTCTTTCAACTGCAGTTGAAAACTTGGGGTCTAAATGTTTAGCCTTTTCCATAGATCTGAGCATTTTAAAGTTATTTGTAAAATTTTTCATTCCACTGATACTCAGCATTTGAGTTTATTTGAGCTCCTAGTCGGTTTAGCTTAACCGAATATTACCTGAAGTATACCCTGTGTTGTAGTACAGGTCGCTATGGTTGGTATCCTTGTCCCTATTTGTCTGAGATTAATTATTTCTTCTTAAAATTGAGCAAACTTTGTTCTGTTACATAATTTAAAATAAAACTGCAATGGTGAAAGTATTTTTGTAAATATTTTATTCATGGTTGATCAATTTAGTGCTTAATTAATCGATAAGAGAAGTTTAGAAGTGAAGCAATAATCTGCAATTTGGATGGTATTTAATTAGCCTTTACTTACCTGTGTTCTAATGAATGATTTTGCTTTTTATGAGCCCATAATCCTTCACTATTTAATTAAAACTGAAGCTCAAGCTACAACATACTATTTAGTCTGGTCGTATTCGATCCGGGCTGCCATCTGCTCCATCATTCTGAATATTACAATGGGTCGAGATAATAAATTGTTGTGAAAAGTTTCCTGTTTGCTAGTCCCAAAGCCAGAGTAGATTGACATTTTAAATAATTCAATTTAAATTATTCTGAATGGGGTTTTGGGGTTTTGGGGTTTTGGGGTTTTGGGGTTTTGGGG